GAGCCTGGTACCTAAGTATTTAAAAAATGCTTGTTTAATGATTAATAAAAGTCTTAATATGGAGGAAACTTGAGGCTAATCTTTTGTTGTGCCAATTTATTTAACTTTTTAGGAGCAAATTTCAGTGAAAATAGCTATGTACCTCTTACCTTTTGTGAAAATTTGATCATTCCCTTGAAGACTGCATAATTTGTACAACCTGACACTGCTATGCTTCTGCTGTATTCCAGAATGTTTACTAAGACTTCTAGCATTTTGTTCTCACTCATATCTGGGGACTCTGGGAGTTGATAATAGCAACAATAATACTAAAACCTTGGAATTACAGAACATTTTTATTCTAAAAGTCTCAAGGTAAACTATTCATAAATTATTCATATCCCTTCAAAATTCTAATTTTATCGTCACATTTGAGTTACAGCAGATATTAACTTCCTTTGAGGGCTAGGGAGAGTGATTTGTACTCCTGCCTCCATCACGCAGTATGTGGCAGATGAAGGACTAAAACACTGAATCTAGAGTTAATGTCTTACTCTTTTTTCGCTCTTTAAGCTCAAGTTTACACTGAGATAAAGTTTCCAAATCACAGATTTCTAGGACTATTCTCATCAATGAATTCTGAACCAGGCTGTACCGCCTACTCTTATTCAACTTAGATGCCCTACTGAAATGAATGAGTTGTTCACATTTGCACATTGTCTAAATCAGTGGTGTCAAACAGGAGGCCCCAACAGGCCAGTGGCTAGAATCAGATTAAAAAGCAATTGGGAAATAGTTAACAAAATAAATAAAAAAACATAAATAATATTACTTTGTAGTTTTCAAAGTCAATAGGTGGTCCACAATGATCTTTACATGTGGTTTGGTGGCTCCTTTTTCTATCTGACTTTGACACCACGCTTTAAAGGATTCAGGGTCTGTGGCAGATTGATCGAGGGCCATCTGAATTCTCAAACTATTTTCTTCAGCTCTAGACTGCATTGGCTTAAGCCTTAACAAGACTTATTTGTATTTACCTAAATTGAATGAAATGTGTATTCTGGAGCAGCTATTTACCCTGTAAGATAAGGTTTTCATGCGGAGGTCCTCTGCCTACCATCAAGAATTATTGATTTCATTTAATATGAAATCCAAGCACACCCATCATTCTGAGAATTTTGCTACATGAAAATGGAAACCCAACATTTGAGATTGTGGGAATTTTGTGGAAAAGTAACTGTACTGCTTTACTCTCTTTTTTTTGTAGTTATATAAAATTGCATGCTAACTTAAGCCCATCAATGGAGCCTTGAATCCTAAGTATGTCCTAGGATGATTTTTATTTCTCAATCAACAAACAAATATACTGTAGGCCTTAAATAGTTGTTGAATTGAATATCTGAGTGCTTACTATGTGCAAGGCACAATTTTAGCTTTCTTTCTCATCTGTGTTGTTTTGGAATTCATAATCCAGAATACTTTCACTTAAGATTGCATAAAAGTTATTTGGTTTCAGTATATCATACATTTTCCCCAAGTGATACATATAACAAAGAGAAATAACACCACTCTTAATTCAAGTACTTTAGAAAATGAATTAAAATTCTTCCCCAATAATCTACATTGGAGCAATATGATTCATGTAATTTTCCACATTTATCAATGAAAATGTCTATTTGTAGAAAGACAGGGCCAACTTAAACAATTAGTGCTTAAAACTGAATTATAGGACATGGCATAATCTGAAATGCTAAGAAATTTCTATTTCCATTCTTTAATACATTTCTGAAACCCTCACAAAACAATTCAATATGTCAAAGAATAAATGTTAAAAGCTTAGCTGAAATGTCTGGAATTTTATTCTGAATTATTTTAGTCATCGTTAACTCAAAATACATGTAGTTGGAATACAATAATGAGCAGCTAGAGACTGGATATTATCTGTTCCAAAAGTAAGAGGAAACAGGGCATAAGCAATGGATATGATGGTTTTTCTATGCTACTAAGATTTCTTTGCTGGTCAAAGGACATGAATAGCAGCTTTCAGAAAAAATCAAAGCTATCTACAATAATATGAAAAATACTCTAAATCACTACTGATTAGAGATATGCAAGTTAAAACAACTCTGAGGTACCACCTCACACCTATCAGATTGGCTAAAATGCCAGAAAAGGAAAATGACAAATGTTGGAGGGGATGTGGGAAAATTGGGACAATAATGCACTGTTGGTGGAATTATGAACTGATCCAATCATTCTGGAGAGCTATTTGGAACTAAGCCCAAAGGGCTATAAAACTGTGCATACCCTTTGACCCAGCAATACCACTATGAGGTCTGTATCCCAAAGAGATAAAAAACAAAAAGGAAAAGGACCTAGGTATATAAAAATATTTATAGCAGCTCTTTTTGTGGTAGAAAAGAATTGGAAATTGAGGGGATACCCATCAATTGGGAATGGCTGAACAAGATGTGGTACATGATTGTGATATAATACTGTTGTGCTATAAGAAATGATGAGCAAGCACATTTCAGAAAAACTTGGAAAGACACGAATTGATGCCAAGTGAAATGAGCAGAACCAGGAGAACTTCATACCAGTGTCAACAATATTGTATGATGATCAACTGTGAATGACAGTTATTCTCAGCAATACAATGATCCAAGACAATTCTAAAGGACACATGATGAAAAATGCCATCTATAGAGAAAGAACTGATAGAGTCTGAATATAGTCCAAAGCATACTTAAAAAAAAAAACCCAACTTTCTTTACTTTGTTTTTTTTTTGGGGGGGGGGTGGGGGGGAGAGACCTGTTTTCTTTCTCTCTCTCTCTTTCTTCCTTTTTGGTTTGGCGAGGCAATTGGGGTTAAGAGACTTGCCCTGGGTCACACAGCTACTAAATGTTAAGTATCTGAGGCCAGATTTGGACTCAGGTCCTCCTGACTCCAGGGCCAGTACTTTATCTACTATACCACCTAGCTGCCCCCCTGTTTTCTTTTACAAAATGGCTAATGTAGAAATATGTTTTGCATGACTATATACATATAATCTATATAAAATTATAAACTGCTTGTCTTCTCAGGAGGTGGGGAGGAAAAAGAAATAATTTGGAATTCAAAATAAAAAAAACCAAATGTTAAGAAATGTTTTTACATTTAATTAGAAAATATAAAATTTTTAAAAATGTTTTCTACGTTTATCTGTTGATCGATCTATCTATTTATCTCGAATAAGTGACAGTCCCACTGTGCTCTGGACAGATGATACATGACATACTGTACGATGAAGAACTGTGAATGATTTAGCTATTCTCAGCAATACAGTGATCCAAGACAGTTCCAAAGGACTTGTGATGAAAAATGCTATCCATTTCCAGAGAAAAAGCTGTTGGAGTCTGAATGCAAATTGAAGCATAATTTTTCTCACATTTTTCTTGCCTTTTTATTTTTTTTTACAAAATGGCTAATATGGAAACATGCTTTGTATATACAATTTCATATGCATAATTGATATTTCATTTCTTGCCTTCATAATGGGTGGGGAAGGGATGTGAAAGAAGGAGTGAATTCAGAACTCAAAATTTTAAAAAAAGTTGAATGTTAAAAACAAATAATAAAAATTAACAGAGACTGCTTAGTTCACAATAAAAAAAGAAAATTTAATTAAAAAAAGAATGTTTCTGAAAGTAGAACAAGATATCATCAGTATATATATATAAGTTTTAAAGGATGTAATTTTCCTACCAATAACTTACATTTAATAGATTCATCTCTTGAAAGACATCAAATGATGCTTGCTCTTAAAGAGTTTTAGACTAAATAAATTGGAACTACTTAAAAAAAATCCTGTCAAACGAATACCTTTGAAGAGCCCCTTTACCTACATGATAATGGTAGATTTTAAAAATAGATATATTTTGGTGAGACAGACCTAAAATGGCTTCTTTTTATCCAGTATTTTAAAGCCACTTCTGAGGAGGAATATGTCAGTAGTTATAATATGGCAAAACAACAAGATCTAGTAGTTTCGTATAAAGAGCTAGCTGCTCTGGTTTCTGTCCCAGATCTTGCACTTATTAACTTAGCTATGTGACAGCTAGTAGGGGCAGCTAGGTGCTGCAGTGGATAGAGCGCCAGGCCTAGAGTCAGGAAGACTCATCTTTCTGAGTTCTAATCTGGCCTCATGATATTTACTAGCTAGCTGTGTGACCCTGGGCAAGTCATTTAACCCTGTTTGTCTCAGTTTCCTCATCTGTCAAATAAGCTGGAGAAGGAAATAGAAAACCATTCCAGTATCTTTGCCAAGAAAACCCCAAATGGGGTCACAAAGAGTCAGACACAACTGAAATGACTGAACAACTGTGTGTGTGGGTGACACTGAAGAAGTCACTTCATCTCTCTGTGTGCCTCAGTTTCATTTGTGAAATGGAGGAGTTGGCAAAATGATCTCTAAAGAGTCCTTCCAGCTATTAAATTCTATGTTTCTATTCCGAAGGGAGGTAGAATACTATGGTTAAGTAAAACACAAATGAGTTTTAGAAGAACATGACCTATTAAAAGAACACTAGAAAAAGAAATGTTTTGATTTAGCTTGTGCTCTTTCTAGGTTAGTTACTTATATTTTACCCATCACCTGCAGTGAAAGACACAGCTTCAGCATTCAACAGAAGCTTTGCCAGAGGAAGGGGAAGACACTGAAACTGAACATTCCTAAGACAGAACTAAATTCATGTACAACAATTTTGCTGCTGAGGCTCTGGTTTACTCTTAGAGTCATTCTCTAATGTGTTATTCCAGATTATTAAGATAATTGACAACAGTATTGAAAACCATCAATACTCCAGTGTCAGTGATGCTTGCTATCTTCACCTCTGTAAAGCCCTTTGCTGTCTTGATAAATTAATGATCCAGTTGGAAGTGGATCTGACCGATCAACTTAAACATTAATGACAAGAGTATAAAAAAAAAAATCACAAATGGTAAAATGAGACTGTGAACAGAAATCAACACCAATCCTCACCACGTTTCTGCAGAAGTTCCTGGAGATCTGGTTTTGAGACAGTGTCAACAATATTCTCCCCATCCAAGTCTGTCTCAGTCTCCTCTTCTGTGGTAGAAGAGCCCACTGAGAGAACGTGGAGTTTGGTTCTCAAATCTTGAGCCTCTGGTTTCATGAAGGCAGCTGGGCCATCAATTCCTAGGGGAAATAAAAGGAAAGGGAACAGAGAAAAGGGCTATCTGTTGTTCTCCTGAATAGCCTGATATATTTGGTCAAGTTAAAGGCTGTTTAATTGGATCATTTCTCCTTCTCCCTCCTCTGACATCCCTATAGTCCCTCATGATGTATTTACTGAGGAAGTATTCCAGTATCAATATTCATAGCAGGTACATATTAAAAGGCAGTGTGGCAAGGCTAACTTATTTAGAAGCTAGGAAGACTGGGGTTCCAGTCTGATACATCCTGGCTATGTGACTCTGGGCACACAATATCCTCTAAAATCAAATCTATGAACAAGAGAAATGTTGAAAGAATTACTAGTACTGTCCCTTTTGCCCACCTGTTTTCCCAGGAAATTTGCTGGCCTACCCTCAACCTTGGTAAGAAAGAATGCTAGCTAGGTACATACCATGTAAGACCACATCACTGCAAAGATGAATGTGAGGCTCTACCAAAGGGGTCTGCTCTTCACAAGCTTTTGGTTTTGACCGGCGCAGCCTGGCTTCTGGGTTTGGCTGCACCATGAGGGGCTCAAGACGCTTCTTCCTTTGCTTCTTTTCCAGCAAAGCTCGCTATGAAATAATTATGACATTGAGAACTACAGCTGTCATTTAGCATAACAGTAATAACAACAGAATCTTGGATTCATCATTTTAATAAACTTGAGACTTTGAAAGTATCTTTCAGTGATCCTCACAACCCTATGAGGTAATGAGGGAAGAGCTTATTCTCCCTGTTTATGATCTGGGGAAACTGTGGTATAGACGGGCATGTAATTGTCTAAAATCACACCATTTATTATTGGTAGAACTGAGACTATTATTCAGGTAAAATTAAAAACAGACAATGGGCAGCTAGGTGGTGCAGTGGATTAGAGTGCCAGCCCTGGAGTCAGGAAGACTTATCTTTCTGTGTTCAAATCTCAGATACTCACTAGTGTGTGACCTTGGGTAAGTCACCTAACCCTATTTACCTCATCTATCAAAGGAGCTGGAGAAGGAAATGGCAAACCACTTCAGTATCTTTGCCAAGAAAACCCCAAATAGGGTCACGAAGAGTCAAGACATGACTGAAAACAACTGAACAACAAAAAAACAAATTAAGACAACTTTTTGGGTAAACAATTCATATCCAACAAATTAGCAAAAACAAATGAAAGTGAGAAAATGCAATGCTATCTGGGTTGTGGAAGAATAGATAAATTCACAGATAAGTGCAAATGGACAAAATCTTTTTGAAGAATAATTTGGAAGCCCAGTTACAAAAATAATCATACTCTTTCACTTAATAATCTCATTATGGAGAATTTTTTTTAAATAGCCATCTGTGCAAAGATATTTATAACTGTTACTGTAATGATAAGTAACTGAAAATGTGTAACGGGGGTTCTAAATAAACTATGAGAAATTAATGTCAGAGAATATCATAATGAACTTAAAATGATTAAAAAGTATGGAAAAATATGAAATAATTTTAAGTAAAAAAGCAGAACCAAAATAACAGTATAAATATTGGTAATTAAATATACAAATAACACTGGTGAAATAGACAAACCAAGAGAACAGAAGGGATACACAAAAACTATTATTACATATATGCTTACAAAGGGAAAAAAATCTGTGGAATTGCTTTTAAACATTTATATGAAAGGTGAGGGTTGACACATGCTAAGGCTGACCACAGTCAAGTTACTTAACTTTTATGCCTCAGTTTCCTTATCTGTAAAATGGAAATAGTAATACTTGTACACTTACCTTAGAGTTCTTCTGAGGAAAGAAAGGCTTTGTGAATCTTAAAGTGCAATACAAGTGTGAGCTGCTGTCATGCTGAAGGTCATTTTTAAATGGAAGTTATCATAAATGAAAAATTGTTTTCATTTAAAGTTTTGTTAAAACACTTCAACATAATAAATTGTAAAGAAAAAAAAGACATAAGCAGTAAAAGCTGGGTACTATATAACTTTGTACTGCGGAGACAACCTGTAGTTAATATATCCTTCCTTTTAAACTTAACTACATTGTAATAAAAGTCTGATTAAACAGCCTTCACACATGTCCCTTACTATGAGTTTAAAAAGAGTTATTCAATTACTTGCATTTGTAAATAAAGTGCTATATGTATATCTTAAAAAGAGTAAATTCACAATTAAATAATAGGGTCCTAACTCGCTAGCTAATTCATTAAACTTAAAGATCCAATCTGAAGTGATTTTTGGGTTTGGATTTCTTACTAGAAGATAATTAGGTTTACTTTCTTTTTTTTTTTTAATTTTATTTATTTATTTATTTTGCTTTTTGGGGAGGCAATCGGGGTTAAGTGACTTGTCCAGGGTCACACAGCTAGTAAGTGTCAAGTGTCTGAGGCCGAATTTGAACTCAGGTCCTCCTGACTCCAAGGCCAGAGCTCTATCCACTGCGCTATCTCACTGCTCCTTAGGTACAGAAATGAATCAGAGAGGTACAGAGGACAGGAAAATAGCAGAACAGGGAAAGAATCTAAGAAGCTCAAGAACTCCCGTGGGAAGCTATCAGCAATCTGAAAAGTAAACAAAGAGCAGAGTGGTAAGATGGAAATAGTACTAAAGAACAGTAAAAATGTGAGAGACTATAAGGGGAAAAAAGGGAAAACCTCACAATACTGACAATTTTAAATGCTTAGCATGTAAATAGTTAAATAATCTACAATGCTTGAATCAACTGTCAAGTCTCAAGTTAAAAAATAAGAGAAGCCAAGGCTGTTAAACAAGAGTTCTAAGTGAAATTTGCCCACGAAGCAAAAGAACAAGCTTTCACTTTGCCCTTTTTCACTAACACTGCTTCAGAAAAGTTTTGGCAGGGAAGAAGAATCGATGGATAGAAAGGGAATAGATTGCTAAAATAACACTGTATTTCCCTCCAGTGATCTCTGAAGGCAACCAAATATTTCAGAAGGTATTGGGGAAATTAAGTTGTCTTTTTTTTTTTTAACCTAGTCTGTTTTGTATGGAAGAAAAAGGACTCAGATAATATGGTAACTTGGGCCATACCATTAGCAGTTAACAGTGGTTAGGGAGAGAGAAGAAATAATTACAACTAAGTTAATATGAGCTCATTTTGATTTAATGGAAGGAAAAGTCAAACGAGAGACAAACTGTAAACTGTAAGCCAAAGTTACTACAATATGGTGCTGAAATCTAACCTATTTACTACCCTGCCACATTGTAAACTACATATACAGTAATAGCAATCAGCTAGCAAATTACTGTCATGAGAAAGTAGTATTGTGATTCATTGTTCTAAATAACTTAGCTTCTTCACAAGGTCTAGGTTTTGAGATTCAATCTAATTCAGGAAACATTTATTAAGCAAGGCACTATGCTGTATAGGTGATATATAAAAGTAACCCAATATACTCAAGAAGTTTCTAATCAAATAAGAGCATAAAACATATAGACAATTAACTGTGTTATAAGAGAAAGTGAGACAAGTGCAAAGTATTTCAGGCATAATATTATGGGAAATTTAAGCCTGTTCTCGGGCTCACTAAGCTAAAGATAATGAGGAAAGGCTTTCATGAAGTGAAGTAGCACCTGTGTTAAGCCTTAAAGGCCAACATAAGGAGGCAGGGAGATGGGGGTGGGGTGGGGGTAACAATCAATTCCAGAAATGTGGATGACATAAAGACACAGAGATGGCAAAAGACAGAGTAAGAATGGAGGGGGTGAGGGCAGGATGAAGTAGTCAAATTTAGCTGGAACACTAATACATGAAGAGAAGTAGTATGAGATAAGTGTTGAAAGATGAATTGGAGTCAGGTTCTGGAAAGTCTTGAATACCAGGAATCAAGATGACAAATGCTAAGTAAATTGGAGCATAACATTGACAACTGACACCTATTTATAGTTTCACTTTTCTCTTAAATTCTAAAAGTGCTCAAATAGAAGAAATAAAAGTGCAATAGCTTTTTGGAAGTCAGAGAGGTGACAAATTTGATTAAACTCTATTATACTGTGGTTTTATCCACTGCTAGATCATATTGCCTTCATGAATACATACACACACACATACACACACACACACACACACACACACACACACACACACACACACACACCCCCATATGGACCAGAAATTCAGCAACTTCAAGAAGTTCCTTATGATTTGAATGGTAACTTGAAGAATCCTACTCTCTCTCAAATCTGACAATTTAGTTTACTCTTATAACCCTGGGGAGAACAACTGAAAAGCAAAAGTTGTAATAAAGGACAAAAGGATGGATTAAATTATACGGTAGTATAACTTTCTTTCACAGAGAATTAGGGACCTCCTCAGTTAACAAGAATAAAACTCAAGGGAGTTATCAGAAGCCCCAATTAATTACTATCTAGCTTTTCTGATAGTCATTTTTCTGAGGACTCCTCGAAGGCCTTACACTATCACCAGATAGGTTGGCTATGGTCTTTGTATATATCCAGTTAAAAGTACTAAAAGTTCTCTGACATAACCCATTGGGTCCTAGGCAAAAGGTCAATCTGGTCTACAAGTTCATTCCATCATCAGCCATTTGTTTGGGAAAAGTTTCTACACCTAAGAGGTACACTGAAAATAGGATATGGAGGACTAAGCCATTATCAAAAGGGCTGTGATAATTTAAAGTTTTCCACCAAATAGCTTTAATATTCCATTACTAAGATATCTCTGTGTTCCTAAGGAACTATATTCTGATTCTCAATTCTCTGATTGCCACACACTGCACTAGATGCTGGGAATACAAAACCAAGGGAAAACAACACACACACATACACATATATGTAAACATCTATGCATACATATACATATATACTCACACACATAATATTTTTCCAATTGGACTTATGATTTCAGCAGTGTAGGGTGGTCTTGGTAAGGAACTTCTTTTAACAATGGACACTGACATCTTTCCTGCAAATTTATAGTTTTAGAGAGTTGCCTGAGGCATTGGCAGAAATTAAGTGACTTGCCCATGATCTCTCACACACATACATAGCCAGTATGTGTCAAAGGTGGTACTAGAACTCAGGTCTTCCTGACTCAGAGAACAGGTTTTTATCTACCATGCCAAATTGTTTCTTGTAAAAAAATATATATATATATACACACACACACAAAAAATAAAAACAATTAGGAAGTTGATTTAGTAACTTAGGTATAACACCATGAGGGCCTATATTAATAAAATAGCAATGGGAATAGAAAGGAAAGAATAAGACACATTTTGAAAAAAAATAAGTGAAAGAATTTGATGACGTATCAATGTAGAAGGAAAGGGATGATCTGTATTTTGATTGAGAGACCAGGCGAATGGTGGCACCAGTGATGGAGGAAACTTGCTGCAGGTATGGAGATCATGAGTTCAGAATGCATGAGATCACTGTGGGTCATTCAAATAGAAATGGCCAATATACATCTGAAGATACAAGATTAGAGCTAAAACAAGACCAAGACCGAAGATAAAAATTATCAAGGCACTGGCATTAAATGATAAAACCATAAGAATGGATAAACTTTCTGAAATAAGAGTTAAGGGAGAACATGCCCAACAGTATGGATGGAGACAGAGAAGTATCTGACACAGTCCCTACCCTCTAAGAACTTACATTTCTAATCAAACTTCATTATAAAACATGTCACTTTTCATAGACTTCTCAAACTTACTAGATCAGAGATTAATATTGATTATATCATATTTGTCCTCTTATCCCACTTACAAAACTACCATTCTAGTTCAGTGTCTTATCACCTCCCATCTATATTACTCAAATAGCCTCCTTATTGGTTTTCCTACTTCTAGTCATTACCCTTTCCAGTATATTATCCAAACAGAAGCCAAAATAGTCTTCCTAAAGCGCAAGTCTGCCTACATTTCCCTTGCTCAAAAATTTCCAGTGGTTCCCTATTGCCTCTAAGTTGAAACACAAACCCTCACCTTGAGCATTTTGAATCTGTCACAATACGGTTCCAGTCTATCTTTTGTATTACTTCCCTTTAAATCTCTTGGATTCTCTTAGCTACTTCATTCTAACACTAAAGATGTCTCCTTACGTAAGGTGTAAATATACTCCTTAAGACTTGTAAGGATTAACTAAATCACATAAGTCATATTCATGAGCTTGTCCTTGGAGAGAGAAAGACAGAGACAAAAGACAAAAAGAGAGATAGAGACAACTCACAGAGAGCCGACATAGGTCTCTGTTGGAATGGGGAGAAGCCTACACATCTAAGTAGCCCGCCCAGGAAACAACACAGCCTGGAAACAAGAGCAGAGTGGCAAAGGAATGCCTAGAAGAGAAGCCATATAGCTGAGGACTCCCTAGATCAAACCTTCTGGAAATTTCTGGAAATCATGTATTTCCTGGGACAACTATAAGAGGATCATAGACCTGGAGCTGCAAGGAACCTCAGGGCTATCTAGTCTAACTCTCTTTTTTCACAGACGAAGAACCTGAGGTCCAGAGAGGTGAAGGAAGTGTCAGGGGTGGGATTTAAACCCAAGTCAAGTCCTCTCACTCCAGGGCAGAGCCAATGCTCCTTCCATTATACTAGTAGTTCTGCAGCAGAAAAGGACACAGCCACAACATAGAGAAGCAAACCCTAATCTGGCCCTCATTAGCCAGAGAACATGATAATTTACATACAGTTAATTCATATAGATGAGTTATATGGACTAGGTAGGGCCAAAGGAAAAAGGATTATCTATCAATACTAAGTTCTTTTCCTTCTTAGAGAAAGCTGAATGAAGGTAATACCTTTGGACTTGGAGTGCCACAATAAGTCCTTGGGGAGGAGATGAGCCCACCAGAAAAGGAAGGACTTACCTTCATCATTAATGAGGTGGAGATCTGTGTTCTTTTTGTCTTGAATTGTTTTTGTTTAATTAAATAAAGGCTGACCTGTAGCCTCTGTATTATCAGTCTGAATTCTTACATTAGAAGCAAAGAACACTTTTATTTTTCTGTAAAGATATAGACGAGCTATTTTCTGATCCTTCTACAGAAGCTGCCCCCAAGACTGAACCTGGTCTATGTAAACAGAGAACTGTATGTTTTATACCAACTCAAAAGACACCATTTAGTGAATAAACTTAAGTACCTATCCCTTCCCAGCCCTTGTTCCATTAAGTGATCAAGGAGAAAATCTATTTTGCTTAGGAAGAGTCAAGACCATCAAAGACCATGATATTATTAGAAGGAGTTCAGCACTAAAAAGTAGACTCTAGCTTACCTGATTATCCAATTTCAATTGCCGGAGCTTCATATTTTCATCTTCAAAGACCCTATTTTAAAAAACAGACAGAAAGAAAAAAACTTGTGAAAAATCTGGCTAGTTTCATCTCACACATGGACCTGCCCCTCTGAGTTCTCTCAAGGCAATTGATTTTGCCCAGGGAAGATCAGTTTCTTAGACGTTCTTCATACTATGTATGACCTGTCACCCTGCCTGCCCAACAGAGCCCACAGGTATTCTTGACAACATCTGTGCGCCACTGCTCCAGCCTGAAGCCACCATGAGAAGCAATAGATCACAGACTTTTAGTCTATCAGGAATTACAGACCTATCATAAAGGGAAACTCGTCCTAAAAACAGCTTTTAAAATATATTATTTTTTAGAGATGGTTCTAGACTACCCCAACACATTAAGAAGAGTTCTTGTTCCAGCACTAACAATTATTTCTTTATGCCCAAGGATAGAACTTGTCTGTATTTCCTGGGTCTGAGGTAGTTATGCAATGCAGAGCTATCCTGGGATTTAAAAATTTCAAGATCAACCCAGTGAGTTAAATTTTGTGTCAATGTATATGTAATTAAGATTTAATAAACTCCATGAATTTAGATATGCAGTACTTTCTGGTTCTCCCATATCCCATTTTTGTATTTTATTGTTTTTGTTTTTAGGCAATTGGGGTCAAGTGACTTGCCCAGGGTCATACAGCCAGTAAGTGTCAAGGTCTGGGACCAGATTTGAATTCAGGTCCTCCTGACTTCAGGGCTGGTGCTGTATCCACTGTGCCACCTAGCTGCCCCCCCCCATTTTTGTATTTTAGAACACACTGTATGCTCACAAACAATTCCAAACTATCTAAACAGACTATTTTTGGGGGGGGGGGGTGAGGCAATTGGGGTTGTGACTTGCCCAGAGTCACACAGCTAGTGAGTGTTATGTGTCTGAGGCTGGATTTGAACTCAGGTCCTCCTGACTCCAGGGCTGGTGATTTACCTACTGTGACACCTAGCTGCCCCCAAACAGACTATCTTAACTAATCTTCTAGTTCCTTATTCCTATTTCATTTCCTCCAAGAAATCTGATATTGACCTAAGGTGGTGAGATATCTTAGTGGACCTTGATTCAGGAAGATATGAACTCAAATTTAGACTCAAAACATACTAGCTGTTTGATTGTCAGCAAGTCATTTAATCTGTCTGCCTCAGTTTTCTTATCTCTGTGATAACAATAGCACCTACCATACAGGGTTGTTGTAAGGATAAAATAATACTCGTAAAGCTTTTTGTAAACCTTAAAGTGCTACGTGAATGGTAGCTATTATTTATTAGTAGTAGTATTATTAAAGCTGTTACATGGAAGAAGTTTAAACTATTTAACCCCAGAAGGCAGAACTAGGAGCAATGGGCGGAAACTTTAAAGAAAGAAGCAAACTTAGGCTTGATATAAAGTAAAACTTCCTAACAGATACAGTTATCTAATAGTGTAATGGAACTGCCTCAGAAAATGGTGACTTCTTCCTCACTGGAGATCTTAAAGCAAAGGCTTGTTCAAGTATAGGTTGGACTACGTGCCCTAAGGTCCCTTTCCAACTTTCCTGGATTCTGTGATTCTGTAACTATTAAGATCTTTGCAGGGATTCTGTAAAGTCTGGGTCGCTACTTTTATCTTGGCACATGCCATGATGTAAGAAAGGTCAAGTTAGAAATGAAACAGACTTACTCCTATAGAGCAGTAGTTTCTACATTGTTACATAAAGCACATCTAGGGTACTCCCTGAAAGAACAGTCATGGATATGTGTTTAATGCAATATTACTCCACCATCAACATACCCAACCTTCAATACTGTACCAGAGTTAAGGTACTTTTATGAAAAAAAAAATGTATGCCCCAGAAGTATGCCACACAACCTTTGCTACAAAATAGAACTCTTCAAATATTTCTCTCAAGGTTTCTAAAGATGAAGAAATTACCACACCTTTCTAACTAAGATGTTTTAACTTGTAATATTCTTACAGGAATTCTTCCCCAACCCCTCTTAATTCTAGTGCCTTCTCTCATTAATTATTTCCTATTCATTCTGTATATAGCTTGCTTTGAATATATTTGTTTGCATGTTGTATCCCCATTAGATTGTGGACTCTTTGAGGGCAGGGATTGTCTTTTGCCTCTTTTTGTATCCCCGATGCTTAGCACAGGCACCTAAAAAATGTTGACTGATAATGTAAATATCAACAGATATAAACCATTTAAATAAAATTTTTAAGGGACTAAAGCCAAAAAGTTTTAGAACCGCAGGGTCATTTTCAATCTTCTTACATTTTTTCCCCTATTCTTTCATTTGTAATTTTGTTCTAATAATTCCAGCTGTCTCTTGGGGTTATTTTTTTTTGTGGTCTATTCTAGTTTTCAGGGAGTCCATTTCTTGGGTAAGGTTTACCACTTTTTCCTCTAAGTATTTTATTCTGCTTCCAGTCTTTTCCTTAAGAGATTTTACTTTTTTTTTAATTAATTTTTTTTTTTGGTGAGGCAATTGGGGTTAAGTGACTTGCCTAGGGTCACACAGCTAGTAAGTATCATATGTCTGAACACAGATTTGAACTCAGGTCCTCCCGACTCCAGGGCCAGTGCTCTATCCACTGAGCCACCTAGCTGCCTCTACTTTCTTTTAAAAAAAAAAATCTCTTGCTTCATTTCTTCTAGGTATGTAAACCTTGTAGAAAAACTATTTCTTGCAATTTGTAGAGTTAAATTTGCTATGATTTTTGATACCAGATAGTGTTTTCTTGGATTTACTCATCTCTTCAGCTTTAGTTCCTGAATTAGGACTTTATGCCAAGTCAACCTCCATCGCCTGCTGCTCTTTTGAGTAAGGTGATTGCCTCTACTTGGTCTGCTCTGAGTCCCCTGGATTCTTGTATCTCCCCCTCCCAAGTTCAGCCCTCCTAGATCTTTAAGGTTCAGAATGCTGGATCTTCAGGGTCTTCTCTGGTATGTCAGGACATAGTATTGGGGGCATCAGAGTCCCCGGATCTGTGCTTTTTGGATCTGAGTGCTGGGGACATCACATTGTTTTGGTCTCTGCCAGGTGCTGCCACTCCCCAAGGTTTCCAAACTCTCCACCATGGGACTTTTTCAGAGATTTCTCCACTTTTCCTGCCTCAGGACACAGAACCTTGAAGGTAACCCACATTCCTTGTCTCTTGTCACACTGAGGCCCTGCACTGGTGCTGGCTTTGCTGATAGAAGCCTCAGTTGACTTTTTGTGCAGTTCTGAGGCAGGCATCCCTTTACGTCATTTTTAATTGGATTTCTTGATCATTATCTGGTCTGGTCTTGAACTTCAGTGTTTTTCAATACATCAGTATGTGAGAGCTGGGCCATTCAGGCAGCTACTTTGGCTTCCCTGGCTTTAGTAATGAACATAATACACACCAACCTTTAACCCAATCTAGAGTCCCTCAAATTTATTTAAAAAAAAAAAAAAAAGATAACTGAAGGGGCCAAATGGGAGCTTGCTAATAGTAATATAGGCTAAACGTAGTCTAGAATGGGCAGCACAGGATAATGGATAGAGAGTTAGCCAGGAAACCAGAAAGACCTGGGTTCAAGTTTCACCTCTGACACATAGCAGCTATGTAACTCAGCAAGTCACTTAACTGGTCAGTGCTCTAGATCACAGGGTATCCAATATATATATGCTGACCAAAAGAGCTCCCTGCCAGAATGAGATTAAAATGTAACTGAGAAATATTTAACAAAATAAATAGAAATACAATAAAACAAAGGTAATGTTAATATATGGTTTTCAAAATCACCATCTGATATTTACTGGAGTTTGCTCTCAAGACTGTAAGCTACAGAGAAGGTGCTAACCTGCACTGGTAGAAAGAGTTTCAGGTCTAGTGCCTAATTTTTTCCTTAAGAATGGGCTAATTTCCTTAGTAGTTAGGTAATTCTGGTCAATGAATAATATATTTGAATTTCCATGACTTTTATTATAATTTTGGAGTATAAGGTTCAGTTAATATTTGTACATACTAATTCTGGGTAGACTTTTACAATAAAACTAGAAACAGACCTCTTGTCTTTCAAATAAAAGGTTCTTAATAAATGTTTGTTCAATTTGTTATTTGTACTATATATAATTCAAGATTTTGCTAAAGATTTTTCCATGCTGTGGATCTTGTGTTAACCTTTACAAATCACTTAGGGCATATTTCATAGTATTTTAGGAAATTAAAGGGAAGGAGCAGTGAAATATGGAACTAATGAAGAAAGAGAAATAATTTAATCAAGATCAAACAGCTGCACTCATTTTAAAATTTAGGGTACCTGATTCCCAGTTCATAATCTACCCAACAAACCATGTTACCAAATGAAGTTAAAGGTTTCAGGATAGCAACATAGCAAAGACAGAGTGATCTCATACCAGGCTCCCTCAGTTTACAATCAGTGTATTTATCTAGCTGCCAATGACACAAAATTTTAAAAGTTGCTGAAGACCATATGTTTTTGCTACCTACATCATACTAGATAATAAGTATGCTGCAATCAGCACTCAGCTAAAATATGGCTACAGGTGGAAGGGATAAATAAATAAATTAATAGGCTCCTATGACACTTAATAGAGAAATATAGGCTTTTCAATCTAAACTGCTCTTGAATTTTTCCTTTACTGACTATAATATAGTATCCTACAACCAACAAATCATTATTTTTTTGAGCAATCAACTTAATTTGAAAAGTCTATGAAGCAGTTTATTGGCAAAACATAAATCATTATGAATTATCTAGCCAATTTCAAGCTTTGGGTTTTTCCTTATATTTTAATGATGGAGTGGGTCCTTTATCACTTATAAATATACCACCAATGAAACATTTCATTCTTAGAAATTATAGTTAGGAAAGGGGGAAGAAAAGCTTTATACTTTAACTTTGGGGGACTAATGATATATACCATCTTTCAGTGGTAATTCTCTGTTTTCACTACCACTGAACAACCTCCAAAGCAATGCTTTTGCTGTATTCTTAAGAGACATATAATATGGTG